TGGAAACCATCATTCTCAACAAACTAACACAAGAACAGAAAACCACACACAACATGTTCTCATTCATAAGTGAGAGTTGAAAAATGAGAACATATGGACATGGGGGAGAGGGGACATCACACACTGAGGCCTTTCTGGGGTTGGGCTGGCAGAAGGATAGCATTAGAAGAAGTACCTAATGTAGGTGATGGGTTGATGGGTACAGCAAACCACCATGGCACGTGTATACCTATGTAACAAACCTGCACGTTCTGCACATGTACCCCAGAACTTGAAGTGCAACAAAAATATAAATAAATAAATAATAAAATACTAGTCATAAGCCTTTGTTGTGAGGTATAATTTCTGGGGGCCCAATTGTCTATGTTCAGGCTCCTCCAAAACGGAGTCTGACACCAAGACTTAAGTGCAGTTTGCCTTAGAGATGATTATAGAAAGGAATGAGGAAGTGGGGGAATGTGAAATAGACAAGGGAAAAAGTCTAATAAAGGGTATGTAATTAATGAGATATCACTGTGGGCAATCAGAGCTCAACCTTGCCTGGAATCTTACACAAACCTTGTGAAGTGTTCCTCAGAATTGTCCCACTAAGACTTCAATTTCGAGTCATATTGAAGTAAAACAGAAGTTTTAACTTCCTGTCTTGAAGAACTAGAAAACCCAAAGAATATACGAAGCGACTCCTTTTACACATTAAACAACAAGCCAACAAGCAGGAGCATACTAGTATCCCTGGGTAAAGGAAATAAACAAGATGAGATCGATGAACACCCTGGATATTTTGTTGGTGCAATTCTGGACCACTGTGCAGGAGGAGAGATCCAAAGTAGACCATGGTAGTCTTGCTGAGTTGAGGGAGCACAAATTTGAATAGAGGATAACTGGAGTGACTAGAAGTTTAGGAAAAGAGTTGGAGGAAGGAGAGATCTGTGCAGGAAACCTGAGCTCCAGAAATCTGCATAGAGGTCCCACTGGGTCTGTTTGATCAATATTAAGTCACGCATGCATAGGATGAAACTCCATAAATTAAGCAAAGTGTAACCAGAAAATTGTCAGCTGAGCAAATCTCAGACATAACAGGGAGTGGGCAGATATTTGAGGTCTGGCCTATCAGAGAGAAGAGAACTCATGAGCACTCAGGGCAACACTAAAGGCACGGGAAGGCCATGACTTAGTACTACAGCTAAACAAACCCTAGAGTGAAGAACATTTCTAGACCACCCTAACGAAGCTCAACAACAAGCCTCAAACAGATAAAGGTGACGCCCTAGTGACTTAACTACTTGACAGAACAAAGCCCAAGACTCTAAAGAAGGAAAACAAATATTGACACTCAGCAACATAAAATTCACAATTTCCTGCAGAAATCAGCATAAGCCATAATAAGTAAAACAAAATCAAGTCAGTATAAAATCAGGCATGATAAAATGATAAACTAGTGGGCAAGAATTTTAAAATAATTATTACAAATATGCTCAGCGGCTTAAAAGGAGGTATAATCATAATGAAGAGAGAAGTGGAACATTTTATGTATTTATATATTTATTTTATTCTATTTTTATACTCTTTTATTCTAATATAAAATATTTAAAATATATACAGAAACGTAGGAAGAGAGAAAACAAGAAAGAAACTTCTAGAATTATCTAACCAAGAGACTGGGAAAATTGAATATTCATCCATTAACTTCTGCCCATCCTCTAAGGGTTTGGAATCACAGGCCATCCTGCCTGTGAGCTCTGTCTGCCCAGCCTACTTTCCCATCTCCAGTTGGAGAAAGCCCTCGGGAAGAGAGGAATTGTAACAGGCAGCTAAAATTGCAAAGCTGTTGTCCGTTGCACCCATTGAACTCATTGGTGAGTGGAGGAGATATGCAGTGGAGCATCACTGGCGAAGACAGGACAGGTCATTTTCTTTATTATTTGTATGGGTAGCCAGGAAAGACAAACAGTGTGATCTGTTTTTCTGGATTGCCCCCACTGTGCTATTGTGGGTCTAACACGTCCATCATCCCTCAATGTCTCTTCAGTTACTTCTGGAACACCTGAGAAGGTGTCTCAGGAGGACTCACAAAGAAGGACTCAACGATGACAGAATTAGTGTTAGACAGGTCTCCTCCTCTCCTTCTCTAGCTGCCACAGTAACATAGTCAGAGGCGTTCGAACCAAAGTGACTCCGTCTTAAATGAGGGCTAGGAAAAATAAGGCTGGGACCTACTGGGCTGCATTTCCAGAAAGTTAGGGATTCCTAGCCTCTAGATGTTTAGAGTTAAGAGAACAGATTGATCACATTCACTAAACAGATTGGGATTAGGAGTTTCCTGATATCCCATTATCCTGAGAACAGAAGCCTTCCTAATTTTGCTTTAAAGATACCAATATCAATTCTTGCAAAATATAGTATTTAATAAAATTAATTATTTATCCCAAACTCTTGTAGCAGAACACGTTTCCCCATGATCGTGTTTTCTCCTATACATAAACAAGCATTGTACCTAGGGTGAACACGGGCCTCCTCTTTCTTTTGGGAACACCTAACTCTGCCTTGGAGTAGCTGTTCTTACACCACTTTCTTACAAAACTTGCTTTCACTTTGTTCTGTGGACTCATCCTGAATTCTTTCTGCCCCAGATCCAAGAACCCTCTCTTGGGGTCTGGATTGGGACCACTTTCTGGTAACATCTTTCTGGCGACCATGAAGGGACAATACTGAGGAGACCCTCGACCCAAAGGATATAGACTGCAGTACCAATTAGCTGATTCTGGGTATGCATTGGCATTCCAGGGTAAAGGATGGGATTGGGTTAGAGGCCCAACTTAGGGGAGTTAGAGTCTCTCCTGACAGAGAGGATTAAAGGTTCCTCTTAATAAAAGGCAAGGACCCTTGACCAAACCTAGGTTCCTGGCCCAACTTTGGAGGTTAGAGCCCTTCTTAAGATTTGTGGGGTTAGAGGACCCTCTCAGTAAAGTTCCTCTTGACTAAGAATAGGTTTGGCCTCAGGGGATGTTAACTGCTATGGTGTCTGTATTTATCTGCCTTGTCCTCTTTGCTGCATGAATCCATTTTTTGGGCACTGTCTCTGTTTCATTGTCATTTTCAGGAGAGTTCATTTAACTGATCTTAGAGATTTTAACTTTCTCTAAAATTGCTGATGAAGATTTGGTATTTAAGCAATAAGATTACATAGGTGTGGTTATGTTTTGTTGCAATCACTAGGCATGATTGAGAAGTACTAGGATAGAAATCAGGGGACCTTTCTCCTTGCTGTTTTGTTTGATTTGTACACTAAAAACATTTCTTATCTTTTCAAAATTCGGGCAAATCAGCTTTGCTTGTCCAATCCACAGTGCAACTATTGTCCAGAGCCTGCTTGCTCTGGCCATTTCCATCTAACTCCCCTTCATTTCCTTTGCCTTATTTGACATTTCTTTCATTGGATTCTATGTTGTGGTTTATCTAAGAGTCATGGCTCAGTTCATGTATATTATTTGGCTAGTGTGGATAAGAGAATTCAGTTTTCAGCTACATGAATGTAGCTGACCTTAAAAACGTCTCCTTTCCTTTTTAGTGGAACTTGGCCAGTGGCAATACAATCTCACCAGTTTGGAACTTTTCTTTCAACATCGCCTGCCTCCTTTGTGGGAACCACAACATTGATCCCAAAGGACTTATCACTAGGATGTATCCTTCCACACTGAGATCAGTTTAAAATAAATGGGAATAATGGAGAAAATTGGTGAAATTGGTATTTATGTGTAATACTGTTTGGCCTCAGTATTATTTGGAAAAACAAAAGAAATTGTCTCCTATTGGAAGTACAGCCTTTAATATTATAGTGTATAATTAAATATATAGTACTTAATATTATAATATCTTGTATACTATAATAATATAATATAAGTATAATATTCGATTACACTTCCACTTGGTTTGTTTTGTAAGTGGGATGAAACATGGGATGAAATACCACGTGTTAAGCATTTTTGCTGCTCAGTCAAGATAAAACCCTGCAACAGGCATGTGCATGTTTGATGAAAGGAAAGGAAGAAAAAGAACTAGATACACTAGACAATCCCTTGATCCAAGCCCCCACAGTCCAGCAGACACTTTTGGGTGGAGCAGAACCTCCTTCTCTCAGCTAGGAAGGTTCAGGTATGTCAGCCCATTCTCCCTTCTGTCCACCTGAAAGTTCTGCTGAGACCCCTTTGTCCCTTCCTCCTTACCCATCTAGTCCCACTCTATTCCCAGCACTCCCTGAGGAACCTAGCCCTGCGGGTACTACTTGTAGTGGAGCCTCTTATCAACCTCCAAAGGGAAATGTTTGTCCACTAAGAGAGGTGGCAAATGGGGAAGAAGGCACTGTAAGAGTACATGTCCCCTTTTCTATGTCTGATTTGGCTCTACATAAAGAAAAGTTTCCTCATTTCTCTGAAGATCCAGGAAAATTCATAGATGAGTTTGAGAAATTAACTCTGACCTATAGTTTGACTTGGCAGAATCTGCATGTTGGTTGTCTCTGTGTTGTACAGTGGGAGAGAAACATTGCATTTTGGGGACAGCTGGGACCCACACAGATGAGATATTGGCTCATAGCCCTAACCATAAAATATATCAGGCAGGAGATACAGATGTTCCAGATCAAGATCTGAAATGCAACTATCATCAAAGGGGCAGTGAGGACTTGGGGAGGGCACTCATATGGTTCTTTGTTCGTTAGAAGGGGTGAAGAAGTGAATGAAAAGCCTATTAACTATGAAAAGATTAAGGAAGTTTCTACGGGTAAAGATAAGAATCGGTTTTGCTTCACGGATGTTTAGTTGAGGCAATTAGGAAATGTACTAACACAAATTCTGACTCAAAAAAAAGGACAAACCCCTTTGGGAGTACATTTTATAATCCAATCTGATCTTCATATCCGTATGAAACTACAAAAAGCAGCTATGGGTCCCCAGACTCCTGTGAATCACCTTTTGTTGTTGTTGCTGTTGTCATTTCTGTGGTTGTAATAACCTTTTATTTTATAGAAAAATGTAATTATACAATGGTTATCAGGGAAGTTAATTCAGTAATAAGTATGTAGGCTAGGGAATAGTTTTCAAATATTCAGCCAATACCAACAAGATCCCGTATGATTTACAGAACTGATCAAGCAAACACAAGAAAACCCTGGTTCAATTTTATGAACTATCAAAAGGACAAAATGCTCTTCTATCTCAAATAAACCAGGTTTGAATTACAGCTTTTCAATATAAAAAAGACACACACACACACTCACACACACACAAGAAAGACAAAATGTCTCTTCTCATTCTGAAACATTTCCTTTTTAGTCCTTATATACTTCGAATAATCTTGCATGGTAAATTTTTGCTGCAACAGACAATGTTCCAAATCAATCTCTCCTGGTTTGGTGTTCTAAGAAGCCAATAGCCACAGCAGTAAGAGTATTAATACTACTTCCAGAATCTCTAAAATCTCAATGCTACTGCCAGGCAATTAAATATTGAGAATGCAAGATAACGAATTGTCTCAAGTTTGTTAGACTCCACCAGTGTTTTTAAGGAAGCAATTTCTGTATCAGTTTTATTACTGGTCACTGAAATAATATTTTTGGTTTGGGTATCCGTTTTTGTAAATTCTGTAGTTGCTTCCTTAAGTTGCTTTTCTTGATCTGTAAACATATCTGTTACTCTGCTCCTTTCTAGGTTGATATCCAGTTTATTTTCGGCTCTGATTCAACTGGTTTCATGTATTAGTTGTTGCTTAACTTGGTCTAATTCAGTTTTCATTTTCTCATTCTCTGCTCTCAGATTTGTGAATTCACTTTTCTCTAGGATCCCCATTTCTTTCCTGATAGAGCCCAAATGAGCCATTGCCTCTTGTACTGTTATTTCCTGTGGAGCTTGAGTGACCATCTTTTTATTGGTAGTATCCAGGCTGACATTTGATAAAGTAGTTAGTGCTGATACTGTAGTTTCTGCTTGTGTTTTGTCAAATCCATGAGTTTCCAAGTCCTGAACCAATGCATGGGTATCAAAAGATAATTTCCTTTCTTCTAAAAGAGTTATAGCCACTGGCGGCCTATCATATCCCTCCTTGCTTGTGGTGCTGAAGGAGTCTCTCCCCAGGCTTTTGAATATGGCATTTTTAGTTTTTAATAACAGGGGCAGAAGATAGGAAGCAGAAAGAGCAAAAAGGACCTCCCAAAAGGTGCAGCTCTTGGCTGCAGCCTTAAGCTCACCTCCCACATGGGATTGCCCTCCTGGTTCTTAGCCTAAACAAGGGAAGCGAAAAGGTGGAAAACATAAAACTGGGCATCCAAGTCACCATGCCTTGGGCATAAATCAGTGTGTATATTGTAAAAAAAAAAAAAAAAAAAAAAAAACTGGATATTGGAAGAGGAAATGCCCAGTACTCCAAAGGGAGCCATTGGCACCTGAACCAATGATGGCTGAAATAGCCAGGCAAGCCCACCAGACCTTCTGCCACATCTCCCATTGGACAATGGAACATATCTCCAGAGGAGCCATAGGTAACCTTTGAGGTGGCAGGTAAGAATATTAACTTTTGGGTTGGGTGAGGTGGCTCATGCCTGTAATTCCAGCCCGCTGGGAGGCCGAGGTGGGTGGATCACCTGAGGTCAGGAGTTCAAGACCACCCTGGCCAACATGGTGAAACTACTAAAAACACAAAAATTAGCCAGGTATGGTGGCAGGTGACTGTAATTCCAGCTATTCAGGAGGCTGAGGCAGGAGAATCACTTGAACGTGGGAAGCGGAGGTTTCAGTGAGCCGAGATTGCACCACTGCACTCCAGCCTGGGGGACAGAGTGAGACAAAAAAAAAAAAAAAAAAAGAAAAAGAAAAAGAATATTAACTTCCATTTGGACATGGACTTGCTTACTTGGTTTTGACCCATTACAATGGGCTTCCGTCACCCCAAAACTGTATGGTCACGGGGTAGATAAACAACTTCATACATGCCATTTTACCCACCTTTTAAGCTGCTCTTCAGAGACTTTAGTTTCCTCACATACCTTCCTTTTCATGTCTGAATGCCCCACTCCCTTGTTGGGAAGGAGTTTGATGGCTCAGCTGCAAACAGTGGTATGTCTTGGAAATCACAAGGCAGATGAGGGTTTGCTCCTTTTGCTTTCCTGTGATAAGGGAGGAAAGACAATGGAAAACTTATCTACTTCCCAAGTCAATCCTAAAGTATGGGACACTGTGATCACAGGCAAAGTGTTAAATGCTCCCCCCATCTGTATCCAACTTAAATTTGGTGTCCTGTACCCCTGGAAGAGACAATACCTCTTAAAGCCAGAGGTACAAAGAGGAATCCAACCATTAATAGCTAATAGAACTTTGGGAAGCCAAGGCAGGCGGATCATGAGGTCAAGAGATCAAGACCATCCTGGCCAACATGGTGAAACACTGTCTCTACTAAAAATACAAAAAAATTAGCTGGGCGTGGTGGCGTGTGCCAGTAGTCCCTGCTACTCTGGAGGCTGAGGCAAGAGAATTGCTTGAATCCGGGAAGCGGAGGTTGCAGTGAGCCGAGATCGTGCCAGTGCACTCCAGTCTAGGCAACAGAGCAAGACTCTATCTCAGAAAAAAAGAAAAAAAAAAAAGAAAAAAAGACTCATAGCATATTCAAATTTATACAAGTACATGCCTGTATAAACATTTATAATATAATTCAATTGCAGTGTGAATGTATGTACATACATACTAATATGACTAATCTTCTTTCTTTCCTTTTCTTGTGTTTCATAAAAGAGCAATTTCATATAAATACCCATTGTTAGGTATTTATATAGTAAATTGGAGGGACAAGGGAAGTTGAAGTACTGATCAGGGTTGGGATGAGACAGCCTCATTTGTCATTTAGATAGGGAAATGTTAAGTTAAAATACGTAAGAATATGTATGTAAATGAAATTGCTCTTTTAATTTTAGAGTGACAAGGGGACTTGTTTAGCCTAGATCACTTGATTTTGAATACCTTGTATGTGCTAGGTACTGTCCTAGGAACTGAGATGAAGTTGATAAGCATTGTCCCTTCTCTCATGAAGCTTACATGAAGCTAGAATAGAGAGACCCTAAACAGATGACAATAAACACATAGACTCAATAAACTCTACAGTAACTTTGGTGAGAAAACTTTATGAAGTTAAAGTACAGAGTGCTATGAGAGGGTATAAAAGGGCACTCCTCAAAGGTAAGAGTAAGGGTTGGAGAAGTTTCCTCAAGGAAGTAAAAGGCAAGCTATTCCAGAAGGAAGGATGGTAGTCACCCTGCTAAAAGTGAGGGGAGGTATTATAGATTGAGAGGATTGTGCATGCCAAACCCCTTGTTGGACTACTGCTAGACAAGGAGAAAAGAGGGTAAACAAGTTATAATTTTATTAAAACCAAGCACGGTGACTCATGTCTGTGATCCCAGCACTTTGGAGGCTGAGGTGGGCCGATGACCTGAGGTCAGGATTTCAAGATCACCCAGGCCAACATGGTGAAATCTTGTCTACAAAAATTAGCCAGGCATGCTGGTAGGTGCCTGTACTCCCACATACTCAGGAGGCTGAGGTGGGAGAGTCACCTGAACCTGGGAGGTAGAAGTTGCAGTGAGCTGAGGTCATGCCATTGACTTCCAGCCTGGGCAGCAGAGCAAGACTCAGTCTCAAAAAACAAACAAACAAACAAACAAAAAAACACCTATTGTGAGCCAGGTTATTGAATTTAGAACAGTATCTGACAGCCTGAAGATCAAGATAACTTGTTAATTCATTAAGTCCTGCATTAATGCTACATTGGGGATGCAGTGGTAGGTATAATATGGTTAATGCTCTGGGAGAGCTAGAGTGAATGAAGAAACCTATAAATAAGTAAGAGCAATGCAGTATTTTTGTTGTAATTCAGATAATGAGATGTTTTGGGAACATCAAGTTGGAAGCCATGAGCTCTGCCAAGGAAAACACAAAGGAGGTATTACTTGAACTGAGTTCTTAAGGATGAGTAAGCCTCCTCTTATATGCAGGTAGTGGCCCTAGCAAATGCAAAGTCATGGGCCTAGGAAAGAACATGCCCAGTTAGGGAACCAAACACCTGACTATAGTGAATTTGAGGGACAAGGGAAGTTGAAGTGCTGATCAAGAGTGGGATGAGACAGAAAGAACATCATCTGTCATACTTAGAAACCTCTATTTTATTTCTAGGAAACAATTTAGATAGGGAAGGATTTAGAGAAGGAAATCTTTGTTTTCCAAAAACCCCAGAGGCCATTGGGGCTGTGAAGGAATAACTGGAAGGGAACTGAGCTTGGAGAAAGGTTGAACCAAAGCAATGGTGTTGGGGAACGACGGCCTTCTCTGCCAGGCACAGAGGAGCAGAGTTAGTGTTTGAAATTATATAGAACTAAAGATAAGTAAAGTGTATTGTAACAGTATAGGAAGGAGAAACAAAATAAGTGAAGTTTACAAATGTTTTAATGCTTATTCAAAGGACAAAATAAAGACTATGAACCAATGAGACACATAATAAAAAAGTACAATTTTAATATAGTGAATGTAATACATATGTAATTCATCATAACAAAATGGTCAAAACCTTTAAAAGATACACAACAGGCATCTAAAAATCTTAGCAATGCTAAATATATAATAAGTATATATTATATATAAGTATATAATATATAAATACAAATGCTTTTTACCAAGAAATGTTTTATTTTTCTTGCAGTAGCTTTGTTAATTGCACAAAATTATCATGTTTTGTTTTTGCCATTTAAGTGTTATCACACAATGCTATTCCGAAAGACAAATGTTCATTAAAAACAAAGCAAAAATAGAAATTCACAACCATTAATTACCTAGATTTGTCATTTAAAGGTTTAAAGAAAAAAAGGGAGGAACTTTCCTTCAAGCTTTTTCACAAGGGTCACATTTTCTCCTTAAAAGGGAAAGATTTCCAAACAAAGGTGAAATAGCTTAAACAGAAATATTTATAAAAAGAAACTTTACAGCATTGTCAAGGATATTAAGACTACATTGACTAACTGGTTTCATTACTGCATCTTCCCCTACCCCCATCCCCAGTATGTCCCACCAGGACTAGAGCAGGCTTTGCATTCAGAGAGAAATGCTTCAAAATCCCAGTGAAATGAACTGTCCTAAAAACCCAACCGGCATCTTCCCTGCCCTCCCTGTTGGTCTTCTGCAATCCTCTAACCCGGGTTCTTCTCTGTGAAAGGGGCCAAAGCTGTGAGTGGGTATGGACTGTGCCCCAGTGTGGCTACCTTATATATAATTTTGTATTCCACCATAAATGCTGGCCTTCTGCAAATTATGATTTTGGAAAATCTAGCCCATGCAGAGGGATAAAAAATGGACATCCCTTGGACGACTTCTCCTTGCTTTTTTTCCCAACATTCCAAGCCCTCTCTGGTCCCCTGTACAAGGAGAAATGCTAGGATCTCGAGGATGTCGCTATGTATTTTAAAAACTAAATGGTAAATTTATATTCAAATGTTTGAATAAGTTTCCAAAACTATCAGCGTACAAGTCATTGTTAAGTTTGCCTTTACTTTAAAAACTGAAAGAATACATTTCAATGTAAAGTAGCAGTCAGGAATGTGCCTGTTTTCTAGCTTCTTCATCTATCTAAAATATATATTTAGTTAACAGAATTATAGTACTCCTAATAAAATTGTTAATAAATAGTATGTAAAATCAAAGTTTAAAAGTAAATGATGGCAGTTTGCTATACTAAGAAGATAAAGAATGTCTAAAATTATAGGAAGATATTAGCCCCCATAGAACTGAAACTTTTAGAAATTCTGAATAAGGAAATATATTCTACATAGATAAGGTGTGATACACTCAGCTTTCTAAAGCAAAATAATTAAATAGTATCCCACGATCAAGAGTAAGGAAATTCTCGGACAAGAAACATTAAAATATTTCCTATTTCTTAAAAAGGTGAAGATAACAGTGTATCTCCATTGACAGAATTCTTATGAAACATTTCCATATTAAATCCACAGCCTTCTCAGTTAATACCTTAAGGAATATTTCTTGGAGATATAATAGTACCTTTCAATTCAAGACACTTCGATTCAAGACACCTTCAATTTCAAGACACAATTCAAGACACAACCAGTGATTCTTGGCTCACATTATAGTCAGTTGCCAAAAACTTCAATAGCATAGCAGATAAAATAACAGCAAATAGCAGAGGTACTATGCTAAACACTTCATTAGCTGAGCTGAAAGCTTAAGGGGCAAACATAGGTTTTCCTCACACTCTTCAAAGTGAGGAATCCA